CCTGCTGTCCTTCCTCATGGACCATCAGCAGGAAATATTCCAGGTGCCAGCTTACCTGCAGCTTGCTGTGCAGGATCACCTCGAGTACATGAAGAAGGCTCAGGTTGGTGCCACGAGAGCAGTTCAGATTAACTTGTTAATTGCTTCTTCTGAAGTTGGGAAAATGCAAATAAACCCAGGACATTTTGAATGTATGGATATTAATTATAATGTTTTGCAGCTTGTGAGTGGGTGTGGGTGTTTATTAGGCACTTATTCCAACAGTACAGAATCAGTTGAGTGCATGCAGAGCCCCTTTTCTTCCAGTGCAAACAGGAAAAAGAAGAAATTTGTGCCATCTTGCCAACGTATTCCTACTGCAAACAAATCACTCCTCAGGAGTTTGAAGAACAAAAGGTCTCCACCTCACAGGCTGCAGTGGCAGAGCTCCTGGAGAACATCATCAAGGATAAAAACCTCTCTGTGAAGGACAAAAAGAAAAAGTTGAAACAGGTGAGTTTATTTCATCTGCTTGTGCAGTGCCTTTGTGAGGAAAGGGCTCAGGCACCAGAGCCTGGGGCACGAGAGGAGCAGAATGTGCTGAGAAATGTTTGTGCTCAAGAGCTGTCGAGTGCTTCATGTGCTCTGCTTGGGATTTTAAAGATGGTTTTTAATGCTGCATCCTCTGGAGCCAGGCTGGCAGAGCTGGGGGTGCTCACCTGGAGAGGAGAAGGATCCAGGAGAGCTCAGAGCCCCTGGCAGGGCCTGGAGGGGCTCCAGGAGAGCTGGAGAGGGACTGGGGACAAGGCCTGGAGGGACAGGACACAGGGAATGGCTCCCACTGCCAGAGGGCAGGGAAGCCTTCTGGGTGGATGGGATATTGGGAATTAGGAATTGTTCCCTGGCAGGGTGGGCAGGCCCTGGCACAGGTGCCCAGAGCAGCTGTGGCTGCCCCTGGATCCCTGGCAGTGCCCAAGGCCAGGCTGGACACTGGGGCTGGAGCAGCTGGGACAGGGGAAGGTGTCCCTGCCAGGGCAGGGGTGGAATGGGATTTAAGGTCCCTTCCATCCCAAACCACTCCATAATAATCCAGCCTTTGAGTGGCAGCAGTGGTGTTCAAACAGTGGTGTAAAACCAGGACAAATGATTGTGCTGGAGCTCCTGCTCTCCATTCTGTGATTCCTGATGGAATTGCAGCCTGCATTCCTGTGCTGCACTGGCCATCCAAGTCACCATTAACAAGCCATAGGTGGGGTTAAATTTAATAGGAGTTAAAAGCAATAATTTTTGGCTTTAAGAGACCAAACTCTCTCTGTTGAGAACCCTGAAACATTGTTTTGGTGGCCTTGACTTTGTGTTTTGTAACATTTACAGTGCTCAAGATTATCTTGCACTTCTCTGGCTTACCAACAACTTGCCTAATAGTGAGGCTAAAACACAGCAGTTCTGGCAGGATTTAATCCTGGAGGGTTTTTTTTTTGTTGTTGTTTTGGCATGTCTTTCTGTCCAATGGAATAGTTTTGTACTTGTCCTGGAATCTCCTAAGCAAGTCTTGTGACTCCCATTTGAACAAGCAGCTTTTCAGGACAGCCACACTTGGCTTTGGTGCCCCTCCTGCAGCTCTGACTTCCATGTGTGTTGTGGAAGCTTTGTGGCCTCTAAAAGTGAGTCTGGTTTGGTTTATCAAAACTTCTGGATCTGAAGAAGAATGGCTGAGTGTAGTTGATTAAGGCTGGGAGTAAGTGAGGAGTAAGAAGTGATTCACAGCAGCAAGGGAAAGGGAGGAAGGACATGGGGGCCCAAAAACCATCCCAGGACTGGAGGTGCCTCAGCAGTGCCAGCACAGGGATGGGCACTGCCTTGGGTCTGCTGGACACATTCTGCTTGATGGGAAATGTTGGGAATTCTTGGGAAAAGCCGAATTCCTGGCACTTTCTGGAGGGTAAGGTCCCAGTTGTGTCAACACCAGAAGTTACAAAGGTGGTTTGAATCCATCAGTGGAAGGGTTTGGCTCATGTTCAGATGTATTTACATTTTTCATCCCTTCCTGAGGCCTTGCAAGGGAATCAGGCAAAATGTGCAAGTCACTGCTCTGATTCCAGGTGTTTTCATTTCCCTGGAATCGTTGGTAAGCTTTCCTGGGAGAGCCCTTCCAAAACAGGCTGAATCTTGGCTCCCTGTTGGGTAAAAGAGTTTATCCCAGGAATTGCTGGAAGGCAGCTCTGCAGGCACAGCAGACACAAGAGTGTGCTGTGGCACAGCTGCAGTTCTGTGGCTCTGGGATTTTCTCATCACTGGTGCCTGTGTGTGCTGCAGTTCCAGAAGGAATATCCCCAGATCTACGGGAGCAGGTTCCCGACGACGGAGTCGGAAGCGCAGCTCCTGGAGAACAAACCCACCCTCAAGCAGCCCATGCTGAGCCTCAGGAAACCCAAATTCCGCAGCCTCAGGTACTGACTTCAGCACCCCTGAGCCAGCTCTGCCTGCTGGGGGTCTGAGGGATTCACCAAAGGAATTGCTGCTGGAGTTTGGTGCTGGCTGCGCTCTGGAAAGAGGAAATGTTTACATGGACACTGTGCTGGAAGGTGCCAAAATTACTTTTTTTTTGGTGCAGATACTTTGGAATAACTTTTAAAAGCATAATATTTATCTGTTTACAAATTATTACAATATATTGGAGTAGGAAAATGTGAAAATACACATAAAGCTGTTGTTAACCAAAAATTTATATATGGTTTTTTATGGGAAACTAATGACCTGCCTCTTGTTGTAATCTTTAAATGTCTGTCAGGAATTTGTGCCATTTATTGTAGTTTTTACATGTGTGGGTGTTGTGACTAAGTGCCTTTTCCATTCTCAAAATGTTTGTCCTTAAGCAAAGGAGCTTCTATGAGTTCAGGACCAGGAGAGCCAGTTCACCATAAATAAATCATTATCTCACTCCATAAATGCTTCTGTTCTTATCATCTGTAAAACCCACATCAGCTTTTTGATATTTATTTCTATTAAAAGACTTGAAGTGTATTTCTGACATTTTCATGGAAAACTCATTTTGGATCTGTTGGTGTGATTCTCAAAATAGGAGTGATGGATGATGCATGAAGTGAGAACACAACACACTAATTTTCCCTATTTTTCCTGGAGTTAGGGATTTGCTTATCAATTATGATAAGATAAATGTTTCCCCCACAGGAGTTGAAACCTGCAAGAATATTTTTGGGAAAGTATAATTAATTAATCTACTGCATGGCTCTAAGATCACAGACTGCTTTGGGTTGGGAGGGACCTTAAATCCCACCCAGTGCCACCCCTGCCATGGCAGGGACACCTCCCTCTGTCCCAGGTGCTCCAGCCTGGCCTTGGGCACTGCCAGGGATCCAGGGGCTGCTCTGGGCACCTGTGCCAGGGCCTGCCCACCCTCCCAGCCAGGAATTCTTGGTACATCTGTGATCCTGAGCCTGTCAGTTCTCTCCCAAAAATACACCATTTTTCTCCTTTTTTTTAAAAGTAGCTTTTGTAAATGAGAAACCCCAATTAGCCTCATTTTACCCTGCATTAATGATGCCTTACTGTCCTGTGGGTAGCTTTGTGCTTTCAGGGCAGGGGCAGCTGCTGCTCCCCTGGAACATCTGTGACCAGCCTCCTCCAGCACCAGCACCTGCCTGGACTTGCTTCCAGTGCTTCCTACCCCACTCCATGTTGCATAAATGCTTTGTTTATGTAGTGTTCCAGTTAAGTAACTTATTAGATGAGAAGCTCACATTTCCCAGGATTTGGCTTTCAAAGGCCTGCCCTCATTAATTCCCAGTTCTTGATCCAGGTTATTTAATGTTCCCTTCTAAGGTTTTGACAGAACTTAGCCAAAAAGGGAATAAATAGAGAAATTATAATTATGGTTCTTCAATAGAAAGGGTTAATGCAAGGCCTCAATCAAGATCTCAGTGCTGCATCCTGTTTTTTCCTGTGAGAAACCTTAAATGAGCCCTTGTCCAAGTGGAAATGCTGCCTTGAAAGAGGGAACGAGCAAACAACTCCAGGGAAAGAGCCAACCCTCACGTGCTGGTTGTGGCAGCAAATGGAGCAGGGGGTGTTTAATGTCCCTTTCTGTCCCTTCACCCCAGTTTGGCTCCCTGGAGCTCTTTCCATCGGTGTGGGAGCAGCTCCTGAATGTATGTGGTGATAAAACACCCTCATCCTCTGCCTGTGAGGGGACAGCAGGAAACTTGGGACCTTGTTAATCTTTGGAATTACTCTTCACAGCACTGTTGTTTTCATAAGTGTTGGCTCTTACTAGAGCTGGTTCCTAATGATGAGTCTGGAGGAGACTGAGGGAGACCTCAAGGGGCTGAAGGACAGCTCCAATCTCTGCTCCCTGTGACAGGGACAGGACCCAGGGAACAGCTGGAGCTGGGCCAAGGGAGGTTTTAGGTTGGATTTTGGGAAAGATTCCCCCAGGAATGGGCACAGCCCTGAGGCTGCCAGAGCTCCAGGGGGGTTGGGACAGCGCTGCAGGGATGGCATTGCTGGGGTGCCTGTGCAGGGCCAGGGGCTGGATCACTGATCCCTGTGGGTCCTTCCAGCTCGGGAGATTCCTTGATGTTTGCCACTGTTGTTTTCTCCTCCCTTGGTGTCTGTGGTGTCACACCCCTCCTGGGTGAAGCTCTGGAGGAGCCGAGATGGTCCCTGCAGAGCCGGCTGCCGCTGCCAGCTCCCGGCACGGCTCCAGCGCTCCGTCTCGCTCCTCCCTGGGCTTTTTTTCTTTGTAATCACTTCTGCTTGGGAAGAATTTAGGTCTCAGAAAAACAGTGAAAGCCCCTTTTTGTGTGAACAGCAGGACAAAAGCTCCCAAAGCCCAGGGAGGATTTTGGTGCTGAAAGCCGGCTCTGTTCCCGGGGTGCTCTCATTGGTGGGGGCTGTTTTGGGATGGGGCTGTCCTGGGCAGGGCTCAGCACCCCATAAATACCCAGCACAGCTCTGGCTCCATGCTTGGCTCTGGAGGCTCGGGCCCTTCATCAGGGAGGATGTACAGCCAGTGAGTATTCCTGAGGCTCCTCTGTGGGAGCACATCCCAGGTGGAGCATTGGCTGGGGCCGGGGGGCAGCAGGGTTTGGAGGGGAGGAGAAGTGGGGAGGTCTCCATGTCTCCATCTCAATCCCATGCCAAGGTGTGCTTCTGGTCTGGGGGAACAGGCTCACCTCCAGGCTCCAGAGGATTGACCAGATTTTGGACCAGAATAATGGAATCCTGGGATGGTTTGGGTTGGAAGGACCTTGAAGCTCATCCAGTGGCTGCCATGGCAGGGGCACCTTCCACTGTTCCAGGTGCTCCAAGCCCTGTCCAGCCTGGCCTTGGGCACTGCCAGGGATCCAGGGCAGCCACAGCTGCTCTGGGCAGAGTTCATCAGCCTGTGCCTGGTGTGTCTTCATGGGCTTTGCAGCAGATAAAATTGGAACCCAACAAATAATCCTTTGCTAAAAAAAAAAAAGAAAAAAAGCTTTTCCAAGAGCTGGAAGATACAAGCTGGATTTTGCTTTCTGATGATTTGGGTGTCCTGGTTTGTTGGGCTGTCCCCTCGGTGTCCCTGTCCCTCCTCATGCTCAGGACAGTTCTCAGCAGCTGTTTGGAGCCTCAGGGCCTTTCCCCATGGAAAGCTGCTTCTCCTTCCTCCCTCAAGTTCTTTGCAAGTCATGGATCGTTCCGTGCAGAAAGATCCATCCTCCCAGCTGTGCTCTGCTCCGGGTTCACCCAGCTGTGCCTTTCAGGGTGGAGCATCCTGCTGGAGGCTACAAGAAGCTCTTTGAGACAGTGGAGGAGCTGTCCTCTCCAGTGACTGCCCACGTCACAGGTTGGTCTGGGCCTCATCTCCTCCTGCTCTCCTTTGCTCCCGCAGCTCAGGGGCTTCCAGGGCTCCGAGGCTTTACAAGGCTGGATGTGAAGGAGCTCACAGGGCTGGTGATTTGGGGTAGAGAAAGGTCAGATTGGGTGGGGAGCTCTTTAGACAATACTGAATGTCTTGGTCCACAGCAGGTGTGAAGAAATCAGAGCTTGAAGAGCTCATATGTGTGTTTAAACACTAAGTTTAATTAGAAAATGAAGTTTTGACTTTCTTGCTGTCGCAATAAAAATTCCTTGGTCTGATTTGCGATGCCCATCCCAACGCTGGGTCTCCTACAGGCAGGATTCCCACCTGGCTGCGAGGAAGCCTCCTGAGATGTGGTCCTGGCTTGTTTGAGGTGGGCTCAGAGCCCTTCTACCACCTCTTTGATGGCCAGGCACTGCTCCACAAGTTCGACTTCAAGGAGGGGCATGTCACCTACCACCGCAGGTACATGCCAGTTTTCCAAGAACAAGGAATAAATAAGGAAGAATTTGCTTGTCTGAAATGCTGGGAACAGGCTGTGCCTGTGGGAGATGCTGGTGTTTTTGAGTCCATGTGGTTATTGGAAAAGCTCTAGCAGTGATAACATTAAACCCAGCTCCAGACGCAAGGTGAGGTTGTGGAGAGCTCCCAGAGCTCTCAGGAGGTTCATCAAAGGAATATTTGTATTTACTGCACAGTCTGGTGTCACTGTAACAGAGTTTCCCCTGCTGGCCCCCCAGGTTTGTCCGGACTGACGCCTACGTGCGAGCCATGACGGAGAAGAGGATTGTGATAACGGAGTTTGGCACCTACGCCTACCCAGACCCCTGCAAGAACATCTTCTCCAGGTACCTCGGGTGGTGCAGACGTTGCTGGGATGTACTACAGAGTTTCTGCTTCCCAGGAGCCCCTGACTGCCTGTTGGTTTTCTCTGCTCAGGTTTTTCTCCTACTTCAAAGGTGTGGAGGTGACAGATAATGCCCTGGTGAATGTCTATCCTGTGGGGGAGGATTACTATGCCTGTACTGAGACCAACTTCATCACCAGGATTAACCCAGACACCCTGGAGACCATCAAGCAGGTGGGTCTTTGTCCTGGGAGGACAGAGGGGTGAAGAAGGAAAACTAAAATGCAAATCATGGAGTCACAGAATAGGTTGGGCTGGCAAGGATCTTAAAGTCCACCCAGTGCCACCCCTGCCATGGCAGGGACACCTCCCACTGTCCCAGGCTGCTCCAAGCCTCATCCAGCCTGGCCTTGGGCACTGCCAGGGATCCAGGGCAGCCACAGCTGCTCTGGGCACCTGTGCCAGGGCCTCACCACCTTCACAGATATTCTTCCCAATATCCCACCTAACTCTGCCCTCCTGTCCCTCCATCCCAGCTCCTCTCCAGCTGTCCTGGAGCCCCATTAGGCACTGGAAGGGTCCCCCCTGAATATTCTCCCCGCCAGGCTGAACACCCCCAGCTCTCCCATGGCAGAGGGGCTCCAGCCCCTGGAGCATCTTCAGGTTAGGGTTGGGGTTTGCAAATCAGAGCTCAGCTGCAGACTTTGAGAGGAACTTCCCACACACAGAGCAAGGATGTATTGACTCACAACACCTTGCAGGGCTTGTGTCTTCCCACCTCCTGCCAGGGAAGCTCCTGACTCTGTCCCTGCTGTTCTCCAGGTGGATCTCTGTAAATATGTGTCTGTCAATGGGGCAACAGCTCATCCCCACATTGAGAACGACGGCACCGTTTACAACATTGGGAATTGCTTTGGGAAAAACTTTGCCCTGGCCTACAACATCATCCGGATTCCTCCTCTGCAGGCAGGTCAGTCAATCCCACCTCGGAGCCAGCTGGGAAACTTTTCCCTTATGAATCATTTCTTTATCCTTTAAATGAACTTTGTTATCGAGTTAGGCTTTTTCTAAGCTCCTTTAATTTTTTTTTAATGTTGTATTTAAAGTCACTTCCAGGTGGCTTCTAAAAGATGAATTTTGTGATAAAGGCAGAAATTTGCTGGGTAGATGCTGTAAGTAAGAGCAAGTGTGGGTGAGACCTCCATAACCTCTCACCTGTCCCATTCCAGACAAGGAAGACCCCATGAACAAGTCGGAGGTGGTGGTGCAGTTCCCCTGCAGTGACAGGTTTAAGCCCTCCTATGTCCACAGGTAACATTCCATGGGGTCAGCAGGTCAGTTGGAATCAGGGACGGGTTTTCACATGTCATCAGCAATGAAAATTAGGTGATTAACTAAAATCAGGGTCATTTTGAGCAATGATCCATGTGTTTAAGATAAGCAACTCCATGGTTTTTGTCCAAACTGACCCCAGTGAGTCCTGATGTGCTCCCCTGCCTTTCCCAACAGCTTTGGGCTGACCCCAAACTATATTGTGTTTGTGGAGACACCAGTGAAAATCAACCTCCTCAAGTTCCTCTCCTCCTGGAGCCTTTGGGGAGCCAACTACATGGACTGCTTCGAGTCCAACGAGACCATGGGGGTAAGCATGGGGTCATCCCAAACTGGGCTGGACTGGGCAGCCACACCTGGCTTGGGAGGTCCCTTGGCTTCACCTTCATTTCCCTGAGCCCAAGGCCAGCTGCTGTGTGGTTTCCAGGTGTGGCTTCACGTGGCAGAGAAGAAGAAAGGCAGGCTCCTCAACCTCAAGTACCGCACCTCGGCCTTCAACCTCTTCCACCACATCAACACCTACGAGGACAACGGGTTCCTGATCGTGGACCTGTGCACCTGGAAGGGGTGAGGCCAAGGGCCCCTGGGCATCACAACTGCCCCTTGCACCACACACACCACTCCCTGCCCTGGCAGATCCCTGCTGGGGCCTCTGGCACTTCCACCAACCCATTTAACATTTAACACGTGGTGACGTGTAGACTATACAGCATTGAGCTCTCCAGAGGTGCAGGGAGCCTGCTTGGCACTCATAATCCAGGACAAAAATATTGTAATCTTTTATTTACTTTTATCTTTAAGAAATGTTAGTGATTGGTGAAGGGTTGATGCTATTCTGGCTCCTGGGGTTGCAATGAGCAGTGTGTGTGAGGCTTGAATGCTGCTCTTCATGTAAACACAGAAATGTGGCACTGAAATGATGAGGTTCAACCCTGTGCTGGCTGCATACCCAGGACACCCTGAGCTGAGCTGATCCTGGCACAGAATCATAGAATTCCAGACTCCTTTGGGTTGGAAGGGACCATAAAATTCCTCCTGTTCCACCCCCTACCATGAGCAAGTGCTGAACACCAGCAGTTGCTGGGTTTTCCTGGCAGGGGCTGTGGTGCACTCACAGCTTAGCTCTGCTGAGGAGCTGGACTGGGCCTTCTGTCACTCTGTTCTGCCCCATCCCTGGCAGTGTCCAAGACCAGGTTGGACAGGGCTTGGAGCACCCTGGGACAGTGGAAGGTGTCCCTACCCATGGCAGGGGCTGAGACAAGATAAACATTAAGGCCCCTCCCAACCCAAACCACTCTACACTTCTGTGAATTTTAGGCAAAAACCACCTACACCTCCCCCCCACTTGCAAATCCCAGCTGTGTTTCTCTCTGTGGTGCTGTTTGGTGCAGGTTTGAGTTTGTCTACAATTACCTGTACCTGGCCAACCTTCGGGCCAACTGGGACGAGGTGAAGCGGCAGGCGGAGAAGGCACCGCAGCCCGAGGCCCGCAGATACGTCCTGCCCCTGAGCATCGACAAGGTATGCAGGCTGCTCTCTCCCCACCAGGCCTCCTGCCCCACTTACTTCAAATTCAACCTTTTAATTTAGAGGGCAAACCTGAAGTATGGGCTTTCAGAGAAACTTTGTGTTTTCTTCAGCTGATCAATGTTTTTCTAGTTTATTTATATGGCTGTCCGGAGAGGTTGTGGCTGCCCCATCCCCTGGAAGTGTCTGAGGTTGGGCTGGATGGAGCTCTGAGTAACTGGTCTAGTGGAAGGGGTCCCTACCCACGGAGAAGAAAATGAGATGAGCTTAAGATCCCTTCCAACCCAAACTCTTTGATGACTCCACATGTTACTGTTCATGGCAGAGCCTCTGGGGCAGCAGTCAACACTGGATCTGCCCATAGCACAGAAGGGAGCAGCCACAGCCCAAGCATGTGTGGTTAAATCCTCCAGCCCTCAGTGTGAGGTCCCTGGAGCTGCCAGCCTGGCACAGACAGAGCTCTCTGGCTGGCAGCTCCTGGGTTCCTTTCCATGACCCCGCTCGTGGGCCGAGGGCTGCAGGGGACCGGTCAGCAGAGCCTCTCACGGAGCTCACTGGGCTGTGGATCAAGTGAGAAGTGCAAGCCCACGTGGCAGTGCTTAATGAAACCTCTGAATGCCTTCAGCAGGGAGGGAAGTTGTGTTTGGGCTGAGGAACAGGACAGTTCTTGCAGCACTGCCAAGCACACAGCAGCAGTTGCCTCCTGCCACTCCTGAGGCTCTGCCACAGGTTGCTGCCTTCCCTGTTCAGTGCTACAGTTCTGTGCAAACAAACCAGAACTTTTCTCCAGTCTCTTGTGTATTTATTTCTCTTTGTCACAGGCTGACACAGGGAAGAACCTGGTCACCCTGCCCTACACGACAGCCACAGCGACGCTGCGCAGTGACGAGACCATCTGGCTGGAGCCAGAGGTGATTTTCTCAGGGCCACGTCACGGTACGATGACACCCCAGCTCCCCCAGGTCACAGAAGCCACCTGCTGCCTGCACACCTTGTCCCACTAACCCTCAGCATTTATACATATTTATTTTTCCTTGTAGCCTTTGAATTCCCTCAGATCAACTACAGGAAGTACGGTGGGAAGCCGTACACGTACACCTACGGGCTGGGGCTGAACCACTTTGTCCCAGACAGGGTAACTATGAGCCAGTGGGGGATGGCTTCAGTTTGGGGACAGCAAGGAGTATTTCTGAGCTCTGTGGTTGTGTGTTGTCCCCACCTTTAGCTGTGCAAGCTGAACGTGAAAACCAAGGAGACCTGGGTGTGGCAGGAGCAGGATGCGTACCCGTCGGAGCCGATCTTCGTTTCCCACCCGGATGCTCTGGAGGAAGATGATGGTAATGCTGGGGGTGGTGCCATTGGGATTGGGATTGGGATTGGGACTGGGAAGGGCTGTGCCAGGCTGGCTTCGGGGCTGAGGTGGGACAGGTGCTAACACTGGTGAGAAATTTCTGAGGAAACATGGGAAAACTAAAACTAGAATAATAAAATTTTTGGGCTGGGAAGGAACTTAAAACTCATCCCGTTCCACCCGCTGCCATGGGCATGGACACGTTCCACAGGCTGCTCCAAGCCTTGAACCTGGCCTTGGACATTGCCAGGGCTGGGGCAGCCACAGCTTCCCTGGGCAGCCTGTGCTGTGTCCCTGCCCGTGTCCCTCAGCATCGATGACACTCCCGGGATTTCTGGTGCCCCGAGTGCCAGGGCTGCTCTCGCCTTGCCCAGCCGGGGTCAGACACAGCCCACACCCAGCTGAGCCACACCCATCGTGTTCTCACCTTGCAGGGGTGGTGCTGAGCATCGTGATCAGCCCGGGGGCAGGGCCCAAGCCTGCCTTCCTCCTCATCCTCAACGCCAAAGACATGAGCGAGGTGGCCAGGGCTGAGGTGGAGGTGAACATTCCCGTGACATTCCATGGGCTTTTCAAAAGAGCATGAGCACAAACAGCAACACCGGGCCCAGGCTTCTTCCGGCTCCCAAAAGGTGCAGTCTCCGTTTACAGGTGACCCAAATTCCTTCCACAGCCCTTTGCATTTTTGGGGCTGCTTAACTCAGATCAAGCAGTTCAGTCTTGTCAATGATTCTTCAAAATGGCTAATCAGGTATTTTTTGAATGCACCCTTTGGTATCACTTCCAGCTAAACCACAAATTGGGGGTGGTGGAGAGGTTCTGTTTATGCAAAATAAAACTTTGTAGCTGCAGCAGAGTGAAGAGGCTGAAAGAGCAGAGAGTTACCTCAACACTTTTACACGTGGTAACATTGTGTACAACTGGCTGTGCTCTGTTACATGGTGGAGAATTTTTAGCCCATACTGAAGGATTCTGGATTTAAACATCATCCTGGTCATTGCTGTGGTATCCTCAGAGCAATCCCAGTGGAGTTTTCCACAGCTGCTTTGGGAATCCCAAGAGTATGGCAGGCAGAGTTTTGTTCTTCACCCAGGCTGCAAACTGCACACCTTCCCTTGTGTGTTTGCTCCTTTCCCTTTCTTTTGTCCAAGTGCAGCTCCTTGATTTCTGGATTTCATGTTAAAACATGGACATGAAAAAAAATCAAGCAATTGTTACCCCTTGGGCTAACTTTGCTTCCTTAGAGTGCTACAGATGTTCAGCTTAATCCTTCCTTCTCCCAAAATAAACTTTCAGCTGATGTTAAAAGATGCTATTGTTGAGAATAAAAACTTCCTGCCAGCAGATTTACAATCTGGGATTCTTGTTTGTCTTCAATTGTTCAACACTTTTATTAATGGTAGCAAAGAATTAGAAAATCTTTACACTCAAAGTTCTGGTAGAGGGTTCTGGTTTGAGGGGTCTGCAGTTACATCCTGATTATGGGATGGGAACGGGGAGACACAGCCTGGTACTTCTTCTGCTCCATGATCTCCAAGCACTGGGCAATCACCTAATTAAAAACAAAAAACAATATAAACAATGGGCCTCAAACAAAAAAAAACCCCAACCAGTGCAACTCATTAGTTCTGTGCTTATTTATTTGTTCCTTTGGTTTGTGAAACACTGAACATGGTAACATGAACAGTTAAACTCTCTCTTATTTTCATGTATAGCTCATAAAGTGGGAATTTCAGGGCTCTAGGACTAAAACCACTTCTTGGTGCTCTCCCGTTATCAAAGTTCCCATAAACTTCATGGAAATATTTACCATCCACATAGTTCCATAAATATGTACCATATTTAGAAGGGTTGTGTTGTGATTTAACCCCAGCTAAAACCAGGACAGATTGAGATCTTCAAGTAAACAAACTTCAGAAGTGCAGGGAAGATTTTTATTGCTAACAAACAATGTAACAAGGAAAAATAAAAGAACAAAGGCAACAGCTTTCAGAAAGAACCTAAAGGAGGGAGGGATGTCTGCCAATTTCAAATCAATAAAAAGGCAGGGGAGCACCCCAAATGTACACAGCAAATTTAAAGCAAGAAGAGAAAATTGCAAAAAGCAACATGCCAGGATAAAAGAATGTTTTGCAAACAAAAGGAATTCTGAGGAGGCCAAACTCCAAAGAGTGAAGATATGGGTAATTATAAGGAAAAAAGGAATTCAGATGCAGATTCAAATTATGGTAAAGCCAAAGGAGAGGCTCAGTGAGGAAAAGCTGTGGTCAAGTAACCAGAATTCAAGAGAAACTTTTTTGATAAAGTAATGGGGAAGAGACAGGATGAGAATTACAGAGAGAAATTCCATGGAGTGAGAAGTGGGAGCCTCAGGTCTGGAACCAGCACACTGCCAGCCCTGAGTGAGCCATGTTCACCCACTGTGAGACTGGAGAATAAAAGGGCCTAAAAAGAAAACCCACCTTCCTGGTGTCTTGAGGAAGAATGATCCCATCATCCCAGAGCCTGGCAGAGGAGTAAAAGGCACTGCTTTCTTCCTCTAGCCTGGAGAGGGCAGAGAATTGAACAGGCTTAAAAGCACAATAAAAACAGCAGAGCAGTGAAAAGAAATTGCAGCTGAAAGCAGGCAAATCCATCCATCTGAAGAGAATGGGCAGCACTGCTGTTAAAATTATTCAGAAACCAGCAAATAACAGAGTTGACAATTCTGCAGTAACAGGAAGACCCTAACAGAAAGACATCAAATTACATTGAAATTTAAAATATTTTTTAGTAGATCCATGTTTGTTTCATTAGTCAGGATGTGTTGCTCTGTAAGATGAACAAAAGTAGGTGATTTAACAATGAAATCCCTGTTAGGTTTATATTGAATGTCCTTACTTTGCCTTCAGCTGTTTTAGCTCCAGCTCCTCTCCTGTCCAGTCCCCAGCTGGGGCAACTGTGGGGAAATGCTGAGAATCCACAAGACCAACTCTTGCATTGGGCCACAGGAACAGAAAGTTTGGACTGAATGATCTCCCACACTACAAGGGAAAAACCAAACAACAGAACAAACCCACAGAGATGAATCACAAAAAGGTGTCTGTGGGATGAGACAACCAAGGGCAAGGCAGCATGGAACACAAGTGGATTTGTATGAGGGCAGACCCCCTGTGCTAGGAACCACCACCTCCCCACTGCCCTCAATATTTCTATTTTAATATTGCATTTTGAATTCCAAGCACTTCCACGTTTAATTCTTCCATGTCTGCTTCTCAGCAATCACATGCATTGTTGCATGTCTTACTTAAATATCAGTTCAGAGCTCGAGTTCCCCAGCTGTGTTTTAGAACTGCAGTGACACTTGAGCAGTGTGACAGGTGTGTCCCCAAGCCCTGGACTGGTGCCACCCATACCATGACGTAGCTGTCACTCCCAAAGCAGCCTCCAATGACAATGGTTATTTTGGGAACAGCAGCACAGGCAACTGCAGCCATCATGGAGGCCTGGGCCTTCAGCCTGTTGGAATGAGCCTCTGCCTGGAATAGAAATAGATATCTTAGGTCCTTTAAGACGTTGTTATAGATTCTCCCCACTCCCAACAAACTTGTATTTCTAATTTATTTATTTATTTATTTACTTATTTACAGTTCTGCAGAAACAGATCTGGGATCTAATGGAGGTTTTACTTTCCTTAGCCCAGGACAAATCCTACTGGGCTTTAATGCCTTTACTTTTAAAAGAGAAATAGCCAATTTTCTGAAGTGCAGAGGAAGCAGAGGAATCAATAAGTTGTATTTCAATGCCAAAAGCACTGCAAATCCCAAACTTTCCAGCCTTGCCAACTGAACTGTATCATTTTATTGAACTGTATTATTATCAGCATCCAGCCCTGCTTAAAATTCAAGTGAGAAAGTTCTTGAATCTTTCTATTAGCAAAGTCATTACGAAGCTTCATCAAGAGTGCTTAAAAAACTAATTTTCCTAACAGTTAATAATTCTGAAAATCTAACTTTAGGCCCAACAAGAGCTAAGAGTCGTTTGAAATGCATGACTAATTTGTTTGAAGCAAACATGCCATACCTGTGAGATGCTTGCAGGCCCTGCTGGCTGTGGAGCAGTGTTTTGGAGGAAGAGGATGGGAATTCCCCTCTGGCCACAGAGCTGGACGAAGTGGCTGCCCTTGAGAGCAGCATCATGAGCCAGCTCCCCATTGCTGGCCACTATCCCCACCAAGTGCCTACAGAACAAACATGGACAGTTTGACTCCATGATTTGAGAGGTCCTTTCCAATCTCAGCAATTCCATGATTCTCCCTTTTGAACCCTAGGAATGACTGGAGTGGTGTGGAACCTGCTGAGGCCACAAAAGCTGTTGAGAAATGCACATCCATCCGTTTGGATGGGGAATGTTCCCAGCCATACCCTTCCACATGGCCAAATCCTGTCACCAGTGTTGTTCCATAAGTAGCCTTGAATTCCTGGAATCTGCTTCCATCCACCAGCCGGCTCAGGATCTGCAAAGAAATACACAGACTTGACTTTACTAGAGAATCTGAGGTGAAAATAGGAGAGTTCTGCTAAAAGAAATGCTCTGTTCAAACAGCAGCAGATCTGAGTTACACAAGATGGGCACAGAGGGTCTTTGGGTGAATTGCTAAATGCTCAATATGCACAAACCATCCAATTTGTGTTTGGTTTCATTACCAACTGTGTATTTTAAGACAAAGGTCGACTCCAAAATTATTTTAGTTTTACAAAGCACAATTGTTCCTGTGCATAAAAATGTAAAAAAAAGCAAAAACCACACCCCAGTGTGTGCAGTTTCAGACTTTGTGCAGAGGAAATGCTTGGTTCATAAGGCTCATGTTTTTTTCCAACAGAGTTAAAAGCTGCCTTCAAAGCTTTCTACAGTCAATTCCCTCAAGTGCAGGGACTTAGCCCTGCAGGAAAAGATACTGCATTCACATCCATGGAGACAAAATCTCATGTAGAACACAATGGAAACAGTGTGGGCAGCTCTGCATGTCTCTGCTTAAGCTTCAGTGTCTCTCCCTACCTCAAACAAGTTTGATTTGAGTGGTGTTGTTTTTCCAGTCAGTAATTTCACCATTTCTTTTACATTATTTGAATGCTTGGGGGAAGAAACAAAAAGGCAGGGGAAGGGAAACACAGACATTAAAGGGGTGTATGTTCTCAAGGCAGCCAACACAGTGTAAGACATAAAGAAAGCATCCCAATAGTGCATGGAAACAGCTGGGCAGCACTGGCACAATCTGGGATTATTTTATCTCCAGCAGGATTTCAGGTATTTCAATATTTGTATAATAAACATTTAAATATTTCTACAGTAAATATAAATTATTTATTACAAATATTTTAATAATAAATTTAAATCTTTTCTGTAATCCCACAGAACTATTGTCATCCTGCTCTGTTTCAGGCTTAAGACAGGCTGGCAACAGACAAGGTAATAATCCAGAATAACATCTGGAGCTGTGGGATGGAGCAGAGTGAAGGATGCAGGAATGAAATCCCTGTTCCCTTACCAGTTTGACAGGAAGAGTGCAGCTGTAGCCCAGTGGTGCCAGGCCCAGGAGCTCCTCAGGGCTGTACAAGGGACTGTCAGGCTCCCTGTCCTGCTCTGGCACTGGCTCATAGTTTAAGGTAGAGACAACATTACGAATGCACTCATAGGCCTCCTCCTCTGAGGGTGCAAAATGGTCACTGCAGCCACTGACTCTAGGAGAGACAGACATTAATTAGCATTCAATTAATGAGTTCTGAATCCTGAGAGAAAACACAAACTCTAGGAAAAAAGCTGAGGCTCTCCAAATGCCCTGTGGAAATACTGTGTGATTTGTTTCTGTATGAATGAGCTGAAAGCAGCCACTCAGTGGAATTTCCATGCAGTCCAATCCCAAACTAAATTCACAGTAAGGAGCTGTTTTTCCCTGTGACTTTTGTGTTTATCTGGATTAAACAAAGATCTTGGCATCTATGTTTGATATGCTGTTGTTGCAGACAATATCAAAAAGGGAAAAGAGGAAAGCAAACTTCAGGAATTATTTCAAAATAAGTGGTTGCAGCCAAGATATAAAGATAGGAATGTATTCCATGTAGCAAAATTGGGTTAAATATGTTTATTCTGGAAAACCCTTGGAAAAGAGAAGACAGCATCCCTCTTCTGTAGCTGCTCACTGTGAGGCACAGAGGAAATTACTTGCCTGAAGTTGTTCAAGAAGTATGTGGAACAACAGAGACCCAAATCCAACCTGTCCAGTCCCTGCCTCACCCCATCAATAACCTCATTTTACTTCCATTTGGCTGATTTAACCCAAACCCCTGAACCTGAGAAGGCAAGCC